GGGGCGGCGGCGCGCCCCGAGGCCGCTACGGGCCCCCCTCCAGGCGTTCTGAAAACAGAGTGGTTGTCTCTGGTAAGTCGGCGGCACGTGTGCGGGCCCGAGCCAAGGGGGCCGAGCCCTTGCAAACGTTTCCCCGGCATGGTTGGTTCGGCAATGGCGCGTTTTAGGGCAGCTCTTGTCCTTTTCGCTTTGGGAGTGACTTTTCTGTAAACGGGTTCAACAGCCCCCCACCCCAAAAAGAAAACTTTTTTAAAGGCCAGGGGCCAACTGTAAGAACCACCTGTGGAGCTTGCTAAAAGTGTCGATTCCTTGTATCTGGGATGGGAAGATAAATTCACCCGCAGGGGTTCGAACCCCGAATGCTTGAGGGGTTCTGCTTTCCAGAATCTGATTGGCTCGGTACAGTGTACATGCCATCGTTAATGTTCTGTTGTACGTTTTCAGCTTAACGTGGAATCTGGAGTATTGAAGAAGTAATTCTCTTTTCAGGACTGCCTCCAAGTGGAAGCTGGCAGGATTTGAAGGATCACATGCGTGAAGCAGGTGATGTATGTTATGCTGATGTTTACCGAGATGGCACTGGTGTCGTGGAGTTTGTACGGAAAGAAGATATGACCTATGCAGTTCGAAAACTGGATAACACTAAGTTTAGATCTCACGAGGTAGGTTATACACTTGATTCTTTTCTTTGGCCAGAATTGGATACAGTGGTCTTTAAACAGTGGACTTTGCAGGTAAGGATTCAGGCAAGGGTGTCCAAGTAAAGTACCAGGTTTCTGGTATTAGCTAACATTGTATTCATTCAGCATGCCTGAAACCAGATGAAAGCTTTGATCTTTCAATCGAAAGTTCTGTCTATCCAATAGGGAGAAACTGCCTACATCCGAGTTAAAGTTGATGGTCCCAGAAGTCCAAGTTATGGAAGATCTCGATCTCGAAGCCGTAGTCGTAGCAGGAGCCGTAGCAGAAGCAACAGCAGAAGTCGCAGTTACTCCCCAAGGAGAAGCAGAGGATCTCCGCGCTATTCTCCCCGTCATAGCAGATCTCGCTCTCGTACATAAGATGATTGGTGACACTTTTTGTAGAACCCATGTTGTATACAGTTTTCCTTGATTAAGTACAATTTTTCATTTTTTAATTCAAACTGTTGTGTTCAGAATGGGCTAAAGTGTTAAATTGCATTCTTGTGTAACACCCCTTGCTCCTAACACCTACATTCCCCTCGTGTCTTTGATAAGTTGTACTTTAAGTGATGTCATAGACAGGATTGTTTAATTTTAGTTAACCCTCCATGCTCTTCAGACTGTGGTAATTGTGTCAATGTCTGTTCTGCTCTGGTTTGTATGAACTGGGGTGTGTTGGGTGTTTGTGGTGATCTTACCCGGGGAAGTTCTTATGTTTACTTGCCTTTTCATGTGTCTTTCTGTAGACATATCTGAAGAGATGGATTAAGAATGCTTTGGATTAAGGATTGTGGAGCACATTTCAATCATTTTAGGATTGTCAAAAGGAGGATTGAGGAGGATCAGATCAATAATGGAGGCAATGGTATGACTCCAAGTGCTATTGTCACAGATGAAATTGGCAGTATTGACCTTATACTAAAAGACGAGGGCTAAAAATTATATACACCTACCTTAAAACACTTGGCAAATTTTTTATGCAGTTAACCTTTAGCTACAATTGCTTTGCTCTTTATACCTTGGCAATTGTGGCAAATTTATGTTGCCCATTTTATAACAATTTACTCCCTTCCCCCTTTTTTGTTTTAATAGGGACTAATGTGGGAAGAACTGGCTAATTTGTCACAGTGCTTAGTTACAACTGTTAATGTGTGACCTGCTGTTGGTGTACATGTGGGTACAGGGTGTCTTTAATCCCAACCAGATAGAGTATAATATCAATACTGCTAAATCTGCATGTCCTCTGTGTGACTGATATAGCGTTGCTATTTCATTTTTTTAAGACAAAATGAAAGCAAAATATAGAATACCAATGTTATTGGTGTAGATAATCTAGATGGGAGTAATTTGTCTCACCTTCCCCTTTAAACTAATACTCATAATTGACCCACTTTAATTTACAATTTAAATTGCAGGTGGGGACATTATTTAGTTTAGATTTAGGTGGGGGTAGCAGTACCAGTAAACTTTCAACTACATAACTCTTTTTGCAACCACAAAACCTGTAATACGCTGTACAGTAACAAGTGTTGGCATTATCAGTTGAACTGTAAATATTAAAATGCTTCTTCCAATTAGTCTCTATAATGATTAAGTTTTAGAATTTATCTGAACACCATTCAGAAACTTGTTTTGGGGAATTTGATAGTTATTGATGTGCATCTGTTAAACTGATGACAGACATAACTCATCATTCCCCAGAAACCTTTTTTTGATTACAGTATCTAACATTTTGCCTCCTCTTTTTTGGTTTTGCTGGTTATAAAGGTTTGGATTGGAGAGGGCTCACTGGATCCCAATCCTTGGAGCTGGATCATTGGATTCAAATCATAATGTGGATAGGATAGGGAGGATGAATTACAAGGATTCATGGAGCGGGATCAGATTACCAGGAACATAGGAGTGGATTCCTGCCCCAACCAAACCGCATTCGTGTGGATTTTTCTTTTTTCTTTTTTTTCCTCAACTTAATTGGCTATTCCAAAGATTTTTCTTTTTCCTATTTTTGACGATTGGAGCCCTTAAGATGCACGATGGAATTGAGTTGCATTTTTTGGTAAAAGGAGCAAAGCGAGGACCTGGAGATGTACGCTGGAGCAATCTCCTTGGAAGGATTCAGCACGAGTAGATGGTAAACACTTACAGGGGAAAAGGGGGGTTTGTTTAAAATAGTCAATCAGTAAAGTCACTTCTAAATTTAAAGAAAACAAAATTGGAGTTGAAGAATAAGTAGGTTTCCAATTGGCTATTGCCGTTTTCCTTTGAAAAAATAAACATTTTTAAAAAAAACTATGCATGGTTGTCCTTTTTACTCTTCATGTAAGATGACTTTAATTGGGTGGCTAGTCTTAGCTGGTGCTTTAAATTGATGAGGTTGGACTGTGTTAATAAAGGATTTTGAAAGGCACTCTCCAAAAATGGTATTGGCCACCGCTTAGCTGTAATTGTTCGAGTCTTCAGGGAACAATAAGAAAAGGTGGGAATGAGACAAGTGTGGTGGAGGGGAAGAGAGGGGATGTCTCTTCCTCCCCAAATTGGTAAGTGTTAAAATGTTAATTCACTGGTTTAGTAGCAAGGTTTAACATGCCATTTAAAGTTGCCTTTGTAAAAAAGGCTGCTTTTTGCTACATGCTCTAATAAGGTCAGTGGTGGTAGTTTACACTTAAAATTCCCAATCCCTTTTCCCTTGGTAGGAGCCCTGGTAGTATAATCGGTGTAAGTTACACTTTGACCTGCAGGTTTGCAGTTTGAAACCATCCTTTCAGGTCACCGTAAGTGATGTTAATTAGGAGTTAGCCTCTTGGTAATTCTGAAAGCTAATCACAACCACCAAATCACTTCTATTCCCCAAAACTAGACAGCCCTTGTTAATCAGGTGCTTAATTTAAGATGGGCAATTTCAAACCTATGTAAACCAAAATTTTGGTGTAGAAGTGGGCATTAAAAGTAATTTGCATAGAAAGTCACCGAACCAGTATATTTAAATTTGTGGGTGTCAGGAGGTAAATTAAGATACTCCAGAGTCCCACTTCATACAAATTTACCGAAGCTACTTTTTAGTTTCAAGACAGAACCGGTAAAGATTTATACTTCCAAAGAAGTGTGATTTAATATGCTTATAGTTCTACTGGCCAGAAAGATAATTGGTGTAACCGAGAGGGTTATTTGTGTCCACTGTTTCAGAAACATGAAAATTAATTTCTGAGTTTAAACTGAACGATTTGGAGTAAAACTTAGTACACACCCCGGATTAAAAAGTCCTCTGATGTAAAGTACAGCTTTTGTAGTGAAGTCCATTGGCTGGCACTCTAGTCTCAGAAAATGAAACCTCTACCCCTTAGTCATACCTGTTTGGAACTGGAAAACGGGCTATACAAGCCCCATGCCTCCCACCCCTTTCCTATTTGTGTGCCTTCAGAATGTTTTTAGGGAGCTTGTAAGTAGTTATTTTCTAACCAAGGAGAAATTTAAGTTTCTTTAAAGAAGCAATTGCTTTTCATATCAGACTGAGTAACCCATCTTGCTGTTCAGCCCACATCCTGGGAACAAAAGGTAAGATCCATTTTTGATTGCCAATTGTTTGGGATCTGAATTTTGTTTTTAAAGCTAGGTTTAGTATTTAAAAACCTTTGGAATGTGAACAGATAGCCTCTAGAGGTGCCTGCCTGACTTGAATGTATAATGTCCAAACAGCATTTATTACGGTTTATTACAGAATCTAGTTTTGAGAGTTGTCTTAAACATGGTCATAAGAGTGGTGGGAATTTTAGGTGTCTTACAATCAAGATGAATTCAATATGCTTTTTTTTGCTTTGAAGTTATTGATGAAATAATTTTCAATATGTATATCAAATAATGCTGAAGTTTTTCCACTAAACATCTGTTAAAATAACAACTGCCCTGTGGTTTAACATGTTTCCATTGGAGTACAGTGTGAAAGGAAACAAGTTAGCAGAAGACTCTTCCACAAAAGCAAGGTTTTTGTTGGACTAATTTAGTATAAAACCTGGTCATGGTTGATGTGTCTACGTTTTGACTTTGACCAGCTGCTTCAGGCTGCCCAGCTGTTCACTGGTAACGGTATAGAATGTGCCTGCCCTCAGGGTAAGAGATTGTATAAGGTGTGCCTACAGGTTAATACTTCAGTGTATAATCTGTGAGTTATGAGTATGTAAAAATAAATCTTCCTGTGGATCCGTCAATGAAAAAAGTCTTTTTAAGTTTCCGATCTCTCTAGGCTGAAGCAGTCACAGGACTAAAAGGTATGGCCCATGTTTTTTCTTTTGGTCAATAGTGGATTCAACAGTTGTATTCCATTGAAGGAAATGGATCAGCCACACCAAAATTATTAAAAGTACTTTCCTTACAGGAATATTGACCCATCTGATCTTAGAAGGAAAGGGGGTTGGTGTAAAGATGGTAAAGAAACATCACTTCGTAATGTTTGCTATTCAACCCCAAGAAGTTAAAAGTGTATTTAAGCAACATTTATTATTGTGATTTGAGAACTTGGGACTCTTGCAAGTTTTAAAAGCTGTGCATTGACAACTCTAAAGATGGTTTTGATATTGTAAGGATTGAAGGATATTAGAAAAACAACTTGATGTTCCTAGTACACAGGAAATATGTCTTGTCCCATAGAAGTCCTTTTAGGCAGAAATCTTCAGTTTTTACAGCATTTATTAGGCTAGGAAGATAAAAAGTCACTCTGCCTTTTATGTAGAGAAGCCAAAGCAGGTGAAGCAACACTGGTGAGTAGGGATTGCTGGCTGTTTTTTCTGATCACTTTAAAAGTATGAAAAATCAATTTATCAGGTTAAAAGAAAGTGAGGACACCATACAGCTTAGGCAAAATGAAGTTAGTTTCTGCTACTATCAAGAAAATAGTGGTAGACAAGTCTTTTCTAAGATGTATGACTGGTCCCCCTAGAAAGTTTACAGTTACCAAAATGTCGACTGATTTCTCTCAAATATTGATAGGAAAGTCACTTCTCCACTAGAGGGAGCTAAAAGCAACCTGAAAGTCCCTACTAAGTGGGCAGTATGGAAATCAACTCCCTTAATCCTTTCAACTAGATCCAGAACTGTTTGGTGATTTCCCTTTTTTGGATCTTTTCCCGTAACTTCTCACCTATAGGCAAAAGCTTTCCCTTTTCCACATTGCTTCAATGGGTTTCAGAGCTTGTCTAAGGATAGGGGGACCTATACTTAGAAAAATAAGTGTAGGTTTTCAGACTTAGGGGAAAAAGTTGAGGGTGTAACATTTTCTGCCTACCTTGTAGGGATGTGAGAGATGGGTCAGAGTAAAAAAAAAAAGCTTCAAAATGGTACCATTTTGGCGGTCTAAGATAATTTTGGGGAGTGTTCAGTGGTTTTTTGGCATCAAAGTTTTATTAATGTTTTTTGTCAACTTGCCTAAAAACCTCAAATTAGCTGTGTTTTCTAGGCATTGCCTAGAGTGTGAACAAATCAGTGCACAGGTTTGTTTGACATGTTGGTGACATTTTAAGGAGTAGCAATATTTGAGGAATAACACCTTCGCAGTTGTCATCCTGCCCTCTGCCCAACCTCACAATCTGACAATGGAAAAGATTTGTCTGTTTCAAGTATAATTGCCACTGAGGACGGGTTTTTTTTAGGACCATTTGATTAGTATATTTGTTTTTAGACATGAACTAGTGTATTTTGAAGAATAAAATACTAAAAGTGGTATAGACAGTCACACACACCCCTACTCCCACAACCACACGCAACCCCAGAAGTGAAAAGTTGAGGCTGCAAAAGGTACTAAGTCACCTTGCTGCTAATGTAGTTGAGAGCACAGCTAGAATGAGTTTGTTCTTAACCCTGAAACTTGACTCTGGTGTTTAAAATTGTGAGTGGATACTTTGACGCCAAATTGTAGAAATGAAAACCCAGAATTCCCTTCGCTGAAGAGGCTGAACTTGGGGAATTGGCAAAATGCCTGAAGGCATAATGGAGTTAACCCACGAAGCACTAGATATTTGAAAGAGCCCTTATGTATAAGTTTGGGGAAATCTTTGAGGTGGCAGCAAGGATTAGGATCTACAATATGTCGTAGGCAACAGCATTAAAAGGGAACCTACTGCTTTAATTGGAACTTAGAAGCACTGGGCTGAACCTTTTCTATCCTTAACAATGGCATTCTTAAGGAATGTCAGCTAAAAGTATTAAACCAAATGTCACATCTACATCCTAAGAATAGAAATGTAAAATATTGATACATTGAAGCATAAAACAACAAAAGTACAAAGTTCTTCAAAATGCCTCTTGAGATTGTCTCCTCCAAATGCCATACTGGCATTCTTGCCTGTGCTAAAGTACTGAGTCCACCGAGTAGTTTCTCAGCCTGGCCATCCTGTAAATTGTGCAAATTCTGATGTAAAACAGTTACCATGTCACTCCAGGAGCAGGAATTAATGTACTTTACCCCTTAGCGGTCGTTTTCCCTTTCACTGGTTAATCTGGTAAGAACTTCTTTGACCATGTTTTATTTTTCTGCACAGTGTTTCTCGTGAAGGCTTTGTATTTTTCTCCGTCAGCTGCTGTTGTCAGTTTCAACTCCGCAACCCTGTGCACGACAGAACCAAACACTGCCCGCTCCTGTGTGTATGAGCTCGTGGTCGAGCCACTGTGTCAGTCATCTGGACAGTCTTCCTCTTTTAACCCAGTGGAACTTTTGCAATGATGTTTTGTGGTACACTTCCTTCAGATCGGATCTTGAAGAATCTAGCATTGTTTCCTAGAGACTAGTTTTTTTCACTGCTTCCTTCTGGGTCTTTTTGCATCATTTTTTAAAAGTTGAGTAGTTCAGAAGAAGCTTTGAATCACCTGTAAATTTTGTGATCCTGCTTCAGGACCCCTGCAGATTTCTCCGGGTTGGGGGGGTGGGGGGGACTGGCTGAATTATTTTTCTCATGAGTTACTCGTAAAAAGGTTTATTTAGAGTTGCAATACTAGAAAGCATTAACATTACTTCCTTAGTTGAGAAAGAGTCTTAAATAGTAAGACCCCGACCGCCACTGAAAGGGTCAACTCAAATAATTCCATCCAAGTCAAATGGCATATGTTTCTAACACCTTACAGTCAGCCCTATGGAAAAATTTCCACCTCTCCACAATCAGTTACAGGAAAATTTCAAGAGTTGTTGACTAATTACATTGTACTTTGCCTTTTATTCAGCATGTTTACATAGTATGTCTCATGGAGTACATGTAGCCTTTAGCTGCTCTGGTTGCCTCTCCCTACAGCCATTACATGCTACCCAATATGGTAGTGTTCACAGCTTCCAAAGTTTATGAATGAATAAACATGCGAATTAGTGTGGTACGTAGTTTGGATTTGATCGGCAGTGTGCTCTTCCAATCAGATCAGACTTAAGCCCAGAGTGGTGGTTTCAAGGATTCATGTCTGCTGCCGTTCTTAACCCTGGGAAAAGAGGGGATGTAAGGCCATTGTCAATTGCCAGGTTGCTTTTTTGGTGTGGCGGTGGTTATTCTTAATGAAAGTAAGTGGCTCTTTGTTTTACAAAGTACTTTAACTCATTTTGATCTTCAAATAGGAGCCTCATTTTGCAACATGAGGGATTGGCTCAGATATTGTGAATCCAAAACTGATGACAAATTCTACATTGTGTTTTGAAACGGGGAAGTTCTTAGGATGTTTGACCCAAGTGAAAAATGCCTGTAATAGCTACCTGTTGCCACCAGGGTGCCCCATGGGGCTGTCTGGTTGTGATCTTATCCTGGGAACTGGAGGCTGTTCCAAAGCAGGAATTAATTTAGTGGTGGGTATGGCCCAGAGCCCAGCAACAAGCAAGTGGGATGCTTAACTTCCTGGCTTTCCAGTGTGCAGTGCGGAGCCAGCTCTAAGAAGTCCTTGTCCTCTTTTGACTCCTACTTTATATAAGTTTTGATTTCCTCACTGGAGGAGAGATCTTTAATATCCTCAGTGATTAGTGCAGTTCCTGGCACTTAATAAACCCTTCACCCCACCCTCCAAAAAACCTGTCATGTCAATTCTGAGTTGGTAATCCTATAGGGCAGAATAGAATGGCACCATGGGGTTTCAAAGCTACCTTTTAACTACAGGACAATTGAGCCACCAACTTGTACTGGTTCCCAGCTCAGCACTTTAACCATTATGCCACCAGGACTGCCAGCATTCAGTTAGCTGCTCAGTAGGCATTTATACACTGGAATAGCAAAGTATAATTGTTAAACAGACCATTCTGAGGAGGGAGTCCATGTTGAGCAAGTGTTTTTATCTTCTAGCTGATTAGAATCCTTTGTGAAGCTAGTCACCGAAGTGTCACTGGCCTTTCAAATTCCTTATTGTGTCATTCTAGGTTGGAATTCTCAAGACATCCTGAATTGGGGTTGTATCTTAGTTTCTCTTTAGATAGCATCTATGTGATTACCAGGGCTCTTAAACGTAAGCCCTTCATAGGAGAGGCTACTACATCAACAGTGAAACTGATGATTTGGGATGTTGAGCTTCTAGCACTGTTTTTTCTTTGCCCAGATGAATTTCTACCCCGCAAAACTCCCAAGCCACGGTTTTAAGATCACTGAAACAAATAGTTAAACTTCCTTTGAAATCCTGTTTCTAAGAGTGCTGATCACAGATTGAAGCACCAACTTGGACCCTTCCATATATTTTTAGTGAGTGATCAGTTAGTTTGTCTTAGCTAGATAAACTCTTGTGGAACAAATTGGAGCTTCCTCGTGTTTGAGCACCAGTTTTATTAAATGGTCTAGAGCAGTGGTTCTCAACCTTCCTAATGCTGTGACCTTTCATACAGTTCCTCATGTGGTGGTGACCCCCCAACCATAAGATTATTTTCGTTGCTACTTCATAACTGTCATTTTGCTACTGTTAAGAATTGGGCAACCCCTGTGAAAGGTCATTCGACCCCCAGTGGCGTCGCGACCCACAGGTTGAGAGCCGCTGGACTAGAAGATGGGGCTAGAATTAATGTAGGAATAAAAGTTACTTCTGAATGCAAACAAAGCATCTTCATGTTCCTAAGAAGCCATCAGTTTTAATAAATTGGTCTGAAAAATGAGCATAGTGTGCCTTTCCATCTAAACTGCGAACTACTAAGACAGCAGAAACTATTTGGACCCCACACAGTGCTTAGTTCTAGACTTTGACTTAAACGTGGTGCTCAGGAAGCGTTTTGTCCACCTTGGATGGACTATTTGCCAGCTTCCCTGAGCATTCTCTCACTGCTGAAAGAAGGGAGAGAAGTGAAAGGAGCCGTAGAGGGAAGCTGGTGGAATCAGGAATCAGCTGGGAGCTAAAGGGGTGGGATCTGGGTAAAATCAGTAATAGCCAGCCAAGGATAGAGCACAGTTAGACCCTAGGGGTAGAGGGTAGAAGGCTAAGTTGATCAGCTAGTTGAGTAGAACCTTCTGTTTTGTTAGAGAAAAGAGAAAAGTGATGTCTATGGAAAATCTCTGTTCTCTGAAACTTTTAAATTCAAAACTGCCCTGCCTTCCAGGAATTCTGATTCTTTTCTTTGAATCCTAGCAGATACCTTGCTTCCCACTGCCCAGGCAACTAAGAGTGAGTGCTTCAAGTATCCGAGACTAGCTTACCTGTCCCTGTGTACCAGAGAGCTTCAAAAAGTTTGGAAATTTTTCGTTAATGTTTCAGTTCATTTTTCCATGAACTTTTTGAAGACCCTTCATTGAGTTAACAATCAGCTCATTAGGCCCCTGCACCTGCTCTTATGACTGGACCAGATGATTTAGGTAACCCTCTTGGCAGCCTCTAGTAGTGACTGCTCAGGAAGCATCTGGAAAGGAGTCCATTCTCTTACGTGGAACCTCAGGTGGATCTCTGGCTGTCTTGACCTTGTGTCGCCATCAGACAAAGTGTGTCTAGTCTTGTGATGTCACATCAGAGCCTTAGCTCACCACTAACTTTTCTTACCCTTAGAACACACTGCATACGTCCACCACCGGTTTCATTGTTGCCTTCGCTGCCAAGAAGGGGGGGGGGGCATGGGCAGAGAAGGGAAGGCCCCCTGATGATGACCAAAAGAGACCCAATGAGGGTTTTTTTTTTCTTTACCTAGGCCAATGGAAGGGAGAAGAGTACTGATTCAGAGAGCTTATAAAAGCTACATGTATTAATATGCTAACTTTGGAGACTTACAAGGAAGAATAGGAGCCTTCTTCCTGAACTCTGGACTATCCCCAAATCTATTCAGAAGAACCTGGAGCAAGATGTTGCTTATTGGAGCTTGGGTAAAGGCGAATTCCTTTAATATCCCTATGTTTTTGTTGGCCTCACTTCTTTAGAAGAGCATTTGAACAGGCATTAACAAGTGGTTTCTTCTGTTTTGCCCATGAATGGTATTTTAAGTTGTTCTGGTAATGAAGATGCGTGGCATTATTCTGCATAAGTGTTATGTCCCTCTTAATTATAGGTAGTTCACAGTGTAATGTATTGGATCTACAATGAATTCTTAATTTGTTAGTAATTAATGTACTACATAAAATGTTGCAGTTTATGATTTGCTGATGTCCGGTATTCACTCCAGATGTTCAATGTTATTACTTACTATTCAAAACATTGTCGTATAGCTGGCTATGAAAGCTATAAACAAAATCAATATACCAGAAATAACCGTGGAATTGTTAGACCATAACCAATCCCATTAAGTCAGAGATTACCTGTAGTGCTTTTAATTTACCTTTGTACCAGAGTAACTCTACATAAGGATTTATGTTATAGGTAAGCTTTGCAGTTTATTTCAGACCCACCAAGTTTGTGTGGCCTGTTAAGTATCCACTTTTCGTGAAACTCAACCATTATCCTGGACCTGGGACATCTGAGTGCTGTGAGGAAAAGATGTGGCTAAAGGATTGTTGGTTTTTAAGAATGTTTGCAGCTGTTGTGAATTTCTAATAGGTTGTATTTTCACCTGTCTTAAGCGTCTTTCCTCCTTGTGGCCATTGTGATTTTGTTTATTGGTTGACTGTCCTTTTGCTCAGCTAGTCAGGAATCGGAAAATAGAAAGTAGTATTTCTACCTAAATCCTGTAGTTTGATTTTTCACAGCTTCTTTCAGGAAGGGTTAATGTGTTTCTGTTGCTTCGGACTCATTTTTGGAGTCTTGGGTGTGTGGCTCTTCTTAGAAATATGAGATTATTTAAGGATTTCCCCTCAACCACTAGCTGAACTCAATGTCTGCTGGGAAAATGGGAAGATTTGTTCTCAATACTTTGGTTTCTGACTGTTCTAGCCAGGAAACATATATTTAGGAAAACAAATTCTTCCTTGTTTCCCCCTTACTACTTTAAGAGTTGAAACAGAAATAACTAGTGATGACAGTTTAGGTGGTAGGATTTAAACACAAACCCAACTTCTGACCACATGGGCCACAGGCAAGTAGCTTGAGCCCTTAGCGTGGTTATTGAGCTCCAGGGCTGGAGTGGTGAGGAAGGGAGAGTACTTCTGCTTTCTTCACCAGGAAGGTTTTTTGTTGTTCACTTTGGTCTGGTGAAGAGTGTTTCCTTTTCTGCTCCAGTTACATTGATGATTCCATTGTATGGTCACCATTCTCTTTGGGCAATGCTTTCTGGTAGTTCTAAATTTTTCGGTCTTAGTTCTTATGGGTAGGTTTGCTGTCACTTCTGGAATTTTTGCCTGAAGAATTGGTCTGCTAACTTGCCAATTGAAGCTGCTAATTAGATATTCTTTACTGAAATTTTGGGCTTGATTTGTGTAGGGTATGTTGAGCAAGAATAGACTATAGCAAAGATAGTCTCTATTCCTAGTCTGTAATCCAAATCCTTAAGGTATGTACTCAGGACTTTAAAAATCCTCTCCAGAATAGTAAGGAAATACCTGTTGCTTTCCAGTGTTTGCTAAGTTAGTTGTCTTTAGAAAAGCAGAAGATCTTAATGGGCATCTCTCCTTGTCTTGCATCTTTAGCCCTTCAGACATTTATTTACCCTAGGGCTCTCTGAAGAGGGCGGGGAGGGAGGAGCAGGGAAGGAGTAACCTGTCATTTTGAGAGAAAGTGAAAGAAATAGTTAATTGGCTCATAACTATTATACAGAGTTCTCATCCCCAAAGTTAATTTAGAAACATTCAATTGCACCAATAAAAACATTGCTTATAGCCTATTACATTCCAGGAAGTGGTCTATGCATTTTACGTACATTTTCTCATTTAATCCACAAAGCACCTCTATGAAATAGGTGTTTTGTCTTCATGTTCCAGATGAGGAAACAGGCCCCGAAGGGCTAAGTAACAGGTCATATAACCTGTGAGGGAAAAGAAGAGAGTGGGTGTCGGTGAAGAGTCTGGCAGGAGGAACCTGAACAAGATACTGAAGCAGCAGGTGATCTAGATTTTATTTACGTGAAAATGGGGCACCCTGCTTTTAGTTCAGACAACCACATTTTCAGATTTCACGTTTTCTGAAGGGAACGCTATCTGGTTCCCTCACTAGGAGTTGTTTGCAATAATCAGATGCCTCTACTGCCTGTAGACTTCCGTAGTCTGAACTGGACACCCCTCCCCCCACCCCCCAGTATGGTCTCTGAAAGCTGGCTTCAAGGGCTCATTTTGTTTGTGGTTTGTCCTAAGGATAGAATAGTCCCTTCTACCTAACTGATTCTGCTATATTCCTCATAAAAGGTTGGATTTGATTATCTTGAGTTTTATTCCAAGTTTGGGGATATTTTTCCTCTGGAAAATATCCTGATGTTTAAGATTCCATCTGAATTTAAATTGTGGGGTTTTTTTGGTTGTTTTTTTAAAGGAGGTATGGGGAGCAATCAGGAATTCTGGTTTTGTCTCCTGGATAAAGATAAAAGTAGCCGTGTTTTTTAAAGAAAAATGATACTTCTGATTTTGAGCTTTTTAGTAATAAGAATTAGCCTGCTTTTATTTGACCTCTACTTCCTGTTAATGGGGAAAACCCTCCCCAGAGGTGCTATGAAAAGATTGCTGGAGAAGGGTTTCAAGACTCAGGATTAGAAGCTCAGGAGAGTCTAGCAATATTGTCATTAGACTAATGGCCTTATGATCTTGAAACTTCATTTTCACCACATTTCGAAAGGAAAGTAGCTAAGGATGACAGAATATAGAGAGGGAAAGGGAGACTGGGGAATGAACTACAGAGCCCCTTGGGTGAATGCATTTGAACAAGAAAAAAGCTGACTTGTATCCATTGAATGGAAATAAACTCAATGCCCAAGGTAAAATCAGAACAAAAAGGTTTTAGCTTACCCGTGAATTGCTTATGTTCACACCTTCAGGAACCCTGCTGGCTGGGTGTGTTTTACACTTCGGGCTGCTAACCACAAGGTCAGCAGTTCAAAACCACCAGCTTACTCTGTGGAACAATGAGGCTTTATGCTCATTAAAGATTTGCAGCCTCAGAAACAATTAGAGGGACCATGCTATCAGTTTAGCTGAGAAATGTATAAGAAACTGTTCATCATTTTATGTCCTTATTTTAGGCTGAAGGTCCCCTGTATTGTCTGCTTCTGCTACTGATCTACCTGCAGAACTTCTCATTCATCCCTGTGGCCTCTGGGCAATAGCCAAGGGGGAACTCCTCTGAGGGAACCAGACCAGCATTTTCCAGCCCGTCATTTTGGGTGACGGAAGGAAGAAGGGGGTGCGATACATGTGTGGTGGATGGAATGGAAACATGGACTGTCAAATTGGTATACCTCATGAATTTCTATTACCAATATAATTCTTCAGCCATTTTTATGGTGTGTGTATGGGGAAGCTAGAGATTGTGTCCCTGGATTGGAGGGGTTATGAAAAATGCTGAAGTCTTGAAAATGTGGCCATTCAAGAACTTTTGCCTTAAATGGGTTTATAAAAATATCACTGATACAACCTGCCTCATTTCCCATCATGGGAGATCTCTTGAACCAGAGACACTTGTTTAAAATAACAGCCTGTCTCCGATAATCCCTGTAGCTACCTTAATGTGGGGAAAGGATAGAAAATGTCCAGGACATCGTCATACAGCTCATCTACAAAGTTCCAGGAGCACTGACGCCCACAGAAGACTTGGAACTGCAAACAGACAGGATCACCTCTGGGACATCTCCTGACTCTTCCCAATCAAGAGTTTGACTTTTGTTTTACGGGTGAAGAAGGCTGTACTAAAAGACCAAAATAATTTGTACTTTCATTTGTTTTCAGTGTGTTTTTCTCCTTTTTTTTGCATGGGGGTGGGGGAGAGTGCCGTGGTAGAATTTCACATCGCATATGGAGTGAGGGGAGGATGGGGAAGTTCAGCCCTTCACCCAGGAATAACCCAGTAATGACATCTCTAGGCGTGGGAAGTGTTTCCCTTGACACTAGTTTGATGTGAGGCTGCACCCAGTGGGATTCCCTGCTTGCGCTGCAAGGCCACTCGGTGGGTGACAGAGCCCAGCGAGCGGGCGGGTGGGGGGTTTGGCCAACTGGGCGCAATACCCAAGGAGAGCTGTCGAGGGGGTTCCCGCATTTGGAGACGGGACTAGGCTGTGCCTTGGGATTCCCTGCTTGCGCTGCAAGGCCACTCGG